ATAACACGCACTCAGTGCGTGATATATTTAAATATTTTTTACTTATGAATAGTATTATGTATATATGTGGAGCAGAGGAAAGACAAGAAAACACGTCTGACTATGAATATGATTTCACTCTGAATGACAATATATACATATTATTTTTGAGCTTCGTCGTCGAAGAGAAGTTCTAGCGGTCCAGTTCATTTTTATTAAATTTAATCGTATCGTTGTATATGCATAGTCTTTAATTTGAATAGCTGGCTCGTTCTTTTCTTGTTCAATATTTATTCTAAGAGAAACGTTTTACGGCATATACATGTATTTCTTCTTTTGGTTCATTCGCTTTTCGACCTTCTTCAAAGGTGCATTCAGTATTTATAGAATGAACCTATATTTCATTATTTCGACTTGTTCATCCAACGGTCGCCTTTCTTGCTCTTTTTCAAAAAATTATTGCAATAAAGCTACAAACTAATCTAAAATTGCAACTAGATAATCAAGTAAACACTTCTACAAAATGAAAAGTATCTCAGCTGTGAGCATTAATTTTTTATAGAAATACAGCTGTTGTACAAACAGCCTCAGAAACTCGGGGGCTATCTGAAAAACGTGCCTAAAAGAGTGAAGACGAGTACGCGAAAATTGAAGACATATACCAGTTTGTCGAACATTGTTTGCTCTACAAGATGTGATAGCTTTTTAAGTTCGAAAACTATTCTAATTAATCTGTATTAATCAAAGAAAAACCAGAACAACCGTGACGCTGTGACAAAAATGTCACAGCGTCAGGATATTTCTCTGATTAATGCAGATTAATTAGAATAGTTTCGAATTTAAAAGCTATCTCATCTTGTAGAGCAAACAATGTTCGACAAACTGGTATATGTCTTCAATTTTCGCGTACTCGTCTTCACTCTTTTAGGCACGTTTTTCAGATAGCCCCTGATCGGTTTTTGGGGATGTTTGTACAACAGCTGTATTTCCATAACGAATCAATGTTCACAGCTGAGATACTTTTCATTTTGTAGACTAATGTTTAATCTACTTAATTATCTAGTTGCAATTTTAAATTAGTTTGTAGCTTTATTATTGCGATAGTTTTCTGAAAATGAGCGAAAAAGGCGACCGTTAGCTGAACAAACGGATTTGTTCTTTCTTTTACCATGATCTTTTGATCAGACTTTCTTCTTCTTCTTCACATCATGAATCAATCCAATCTCTGCCTTCCACGATCTGTCTAAATGATATACGATAAAAGCAAAGAGATTATTATTTTCGTTCATTTTTCTGTTTCTATAACTTAAAACTGACACTAACAAATAGAATGTCAGTGTTAACATTAGAAACATTACCATTCGAATTATATTTTCATATATTTCAATATTTATTACCACACGAAATACTACAAACATTTTTAAATATAAATTCACATTTTAATTCAGTTATTAATCTCTGTTGTTGTAAACGTATTAGTGTTGTTGATGTTTCAAAAGTATATTTTCAATATTATTATCGTCATATTATTCTAAAACTTAAAAAAGAGAATATTATTGCATTACACTTATCTTATAGTGCTTCTGCTGATGAATTGGATTATATGCAATAGAAGATAATGATGCTGTCAGACTGCGGTTTAAAGCTTTCGAATGACTTTGTAGTTCCCTCAAGTGCAAGGTAGTTGTTTGTTGTGATCATCTGAAGTGAGAAGGTAAGCTGCGTGGTGAAGACAGCTGCTTCTGCCAGCGATGTATCAAGCATAACTATGACTATTCTGCACTTGAAAAAATTTTTAAAGTCAAAACAAAAGTAAACACATATATTCAATTACAGAGTATAATCACAAAGTGAAATTATATGAAAGTTTGAAACAAAACAATAATCTCTTTTATCTTACATAAAAAAAAATTTCTTTTTTGAACCAGATTGTTAAGTATCCATACTGTTTTTTCAATACAAAATCAATTGTTTTTTCTAAATTATTTGCTTTAATATAATCAGTTAACCAGTTAACATCAAAATTTGTTGTCTTTATTGGTCAATGTGCTTGAACTATAAAAATATTTAATTGTTTTAATTTTTTAATCTCATCTTTCTGTAATAAGATCGACACTCATTGATATACATGATCTGTATTTACATCTAGCAATGTTAAACTTTTAATATTAATAAATTTCTCAATTATATTTATGTCGGCCATAATATCAAGACGAGTAAAACGAATAATTAATTCTTTGACTGTCTTAAATAATTGTAATGGTAGTACAGTATTTTTGATGGTTGTAGTACTGATCAATTTTTGATACAGACTATATTTAAGATATAAGGAGGAAAGATTAACTGTGTATGTTAATAAATCATTTATAATGACATTTGAATTAATATCTTCACCAGATAATGTTAAATATTTAATATTTGAATATTGTACTATTTTTGAAAGATCGTATACTAATTTTTGAAATTAATTCATCGTTAAATGTTAAACAGCTGATTTCTAACTTTCGAATATTTAAATATTGACCTGTAAATAAAGACATACAATATACAACAGAATCGAAGAACTAATAAGAGACAGTGCCTCTGTTTGTCCTGATGTAACTGAATCATTTCGGTTTGAGCATGTCTAGTCCTTCTTTTTTTAATATATCTCAACGAATTGTACCTGCTAATACTTGTGCTGTTAAGATTTTAATTTCTGGATAATCATATAAAGTGATCGTTAGACTAATTATATGTGTATTCTGTAGCAGCAGCGAAGAAATTGTTCTTGCAGTTAATTGCCTTTGTCTAGAATAAAAGGACGTATTTAACTCTGATACAGAACTAATGTTAAGTGACGAAATTTTGAATAGTTGGTCAGTTTTCTTATACCAAGGATCATAACGATAATCATATTCAATAGAAAAATGCAATACTGTTTTGTAAAATATTTGTTCTATAATAAGATATTAAATCATTGATATCATAAGGCTGAAAGTTGTTATTATCTGCACATATCATATTGAAATTTAATTGAAATTTATTTATTTTTGGCATAAAATATTGAATTAAATTTGACCATTGACGTCCATCTAAATATTCCCATGGATATAAATTTGTATATCCACTACCTTGAAAATAAAATTCTTCTAAATGTGATGATAAACATTTTAAGAATGATTCAATCCATTCAAACGAAATAACACTAGGTGTTGAAAAATATAATTTGGTGAGATATGGTACCACGTTTGATTCGTATGGCGGTTGTGGTATTGCTGTTGAATCGTCGGTAGTGGTGGTGGTGTCTTTATCATCAGCAATAATTGAAACAGATAAATGTTTAATCGATGGTATGTAGTTTAACAACATCAATAAGTCATTTTTATAGCCTAAATGAATTTGTAAATATTCAAGTTTTATAGCCTGAGATGTCAATAATAGTTTTGAAATATTATTCCACTTTAATAAATAACATATTTTTAATGTTGGTATTGAAAATACTTTTTGACATAGCAAATTGCAACAACAACTATTCGTCGAATGATTATCGTCTATACATAATCGTAGATATGTTAAGTATTGATGTTTTTCTAAATCAAAAAATTTTGGTAGAATAAGTTGTGATAGATATTACTAAAGATAGATATTTTAATTTCGAAAATAAATTAAAATTTAAAATTAATGTATAATCCAATTCACCATCACCCTCAGATACGTGTAATGCAATAATATTCTCTTTTTTAAGTTTTGGAATAATATGACGATAATAATATTGAAAATATACTTTTGAAACATCGACAAGACTAATACGTTTACAACAACAGAGATTAATAACTGAATTAAAATGTGAATTTATATTTAAAAATGTTTGTAGTATTTCGTGAGGTAATAAATAGTGAAATATACGAAAATATAATTCGAATGGTAGTGTTTCTAATGTTAACATTGACATTCTATTTGTTAGTAGGCATCTAGCAAAATTGGAGATATCTCTTCTCGCACATGCACGATGTTCATCTTCAAGATATCTATCAACGATAGATATTCTCTTTTTCTCGTTTGCCGTGTGAAGAAAGAGGAAAAGTCAGTGCAGCGTTGTTTTCATTCACCATTTTATTCTTTCAACACTTTTTTAAACTTATTTTTTCTGCCTCGTTCTTTTACGTCACATATATCGCAATGTTTGCACACGCATATCTTGTGCTAGAAGAGATATCTCCAATTTTGCTAGATGCCTAGTGTCAGTTTTAAGTTGTAGAAACAGAAAAATGAACGAAAATAATAATCTCTTTGCTTTTATCGTATATCATTTAGACAGATCATGGAAAGCAGAGATTGGATTGGTTCATGATGTGAAGAAGAAGAAGAAGAAGAAAGTCTGATTAAAAGATCATGGTAAAATAAAAAAGAAATATAGGTTCATTCTATGGATACTGAACGCACTTTAGACGAAGAACGAAGAGCAGCAAAAAAAGAAATATATACCGTAAAACGTTTCTCTTAGAATCAAGATCGAAGAAGAAAAGAACGAATCAGCTGTTTAAATTAAAGACTATGCATATACAATAATACAGTTAAATTTAATTAAAATGAACTGTTTGAAGAATAGAGTCCTGCGGTAACAAAAAAATTCCATTACCTTACCGTTACCATTACCACGGTAATGGTACTGGTAAAAAAAGGACTTTAATTCCTGGTAATAGAGGGTAAACGGTAACAAAAGTTTAAATTCATGGTAATGGTAATGGTAGTGGTAATACACACGTTTCAGATTCCAGTTCATAATCATACCATCTCTTTATAAATGGTATCGTATATCATTTTAGTGTATATAATACAGTCAAACGTTATATAACGTTCAGGCTAGTCCATGATCCTACATATTCTTTATTTTGTGCCTTATGCACGTGTTTATGTCTTTTCCTTTCCCTTCTATGGGAATATCTTCTATTACCATGGAAATTCCATTCCCATTACCACGGTAACGGTAATGTTAAAAAAAAATTTCTATCGATGGTAATGGTATGGTAAATGGTAACGAAAAAGTCACGGTAACAGGACTCTATTGAAGAAATCTTGAAAAAAGCTCAAAATCTTGTTATTCATCGATCATTGTGAAAATGCTTTAAAGTATTTTTGATCTCCTGTTTAGTCATGTCGTAGAAGGTAATGCGATTGGTTTAAAGATGCTCAAATTATTAGTTCACCCGAACCATACAAATATTCTTACAATCCATGTTATTCATTTACAGAAGGAGGATTCCAAAATGTAGCGGCATGTCAAAGTTAGTATTCAGAAATAGTTTTATATAAGTTACAGGTTTTTCCGATAAATTTCTATAGTTCAATTCAAGTTTCTGAAATGATCGGCAATTAGATTGATACTAATTGAAGGAATAAATAGTTCAGAAAAACAATCAGATTGTTCTAATAAATCAATTTGTTGACATATTGTGAGTTAAATTTAAACTCTGATGAAGGTACAGATTGTACAAAAAGGACATCCAGACTAAGAGGCAGCAAACAACGTGCTTGAAAGAGATCAAAATGGACTATGAAGATTTTTCTCAATAATATAAGGTGTCGGAAGTTCAAAACTTGAGCACCATTTTTGTTTGCCGTTGATTCATACATGATTGGACATAGCACATCCAGCTGAGTAACTTCTAATATTTTGAAAGCCTATTTTAAAGTCGAAAATTTGAGTAAACTGAGAATGTTCGATTTTTTGAAAAAATTGGTATTCATAGAGAAATGAACATTTTGAACCTTTATAAGTATTTTTTTCGGATTCAACATGTAAAAGTGACTCTAGAAGTATAGATATGACAACAATGTTCAACTATAACCTACCCAAAAATTTTTGAATCCTAGTTATATGTGCGAATTACGGTACGAGCATCGGGAAAATGTATCAAGTCTGTTTAGGTAAGATATTAAGCCGATGCTTTTATTTCATTTTACTCGTCATTTTTAAAATTTTGCCTCGTTGCTGAGTTATTTCATTTTTACTGAAATTTAGGAAAACTTTTATTCAAAAAAAGAGCAAGTCAGTTTCCAGTAAAATTTTCTGTTTTCGTTCAAAATCAATGAAAACAGAGTTTCATAGATAAAAAACATCAGGATTCCGATAAAATCACATTGAAGATCTCTAGAAGTTTTCCAGACGGTTCTTTATCAAACTAGTTTTATAGAGAACCGTTTTGTCGAAAATTTTCTAAAATACATAGACATAGGGAATGAATTTCCTTCAAAATGAAACCTTTTTGAAGATTCTGCGGCTTAAGCTAGAGAAAATGACTGCCAAATTGGAAAACAAATATCTCAATTGGCGAGCATCGGAGAATCTTCGCAAAGATTTCACTGTGAAATGGAAATTCATTTCTCTTGTGAAAATATAAAAAACGTCCACTCTTCCTATTTTTTAGTCCTTGCAGACTAAATAATACGCAAGCAAGCAGATGCAGTTTTTTATGCTGGTCACGAATATCATATTGAAAAGCAAAAAATTATTTTAAGTCCAAGAAACTCAATTTATATAGGAATTTGTGAAGCATATTCTTCAATAAAATTGTATTTTAGATACTTTGCCTTGTTGATCAGGTACTAAAAACTTTTTAATGGATTTTTGACCATTACACTCTAAAAACACCGTGTTTTTCGTCTGTTCAGAGAATGAATTGAAGATCTCATTTAAGTTCTTTGAAATTTGAAGAACTTAATTTCTATTTTTCGATAAAAAAATGAGTTTTTCACTCATTTCAATTTTTCAGCTCATTATAGTTTTTCAGGAATTTTGCGTTTAAAGGTTTGGAAAACACGATATTTCTCTAGAATTCTCTGAAGATCTCGAAGTTGAAAAAGGAAAAGAAAATCACATATTTCAATCATCGCTCTGCTTTGCGATTCCTAATATAGAAAGGACATGATCTTTTCTTACAGAAGTTTAAACTTATTCTCAGAAAGTTCTGTTTATGTGCAACACTTCGAGGACATGTTGGTTTTTGACAAGAGAGTTCTAAAATTCGACTCGAACTCGACGAGTCGAGTACCTGTGATGTTTGGAACCTTATTCGACCCTGGACAAATGGGGTTCCAAACGACGGTTGACTCAGGATGTGGGTTACATAGTTTTCTCTACTTGAGCAGATTTCCAATTGACAATATTTATACTGAATAAAAGAATAATTTTACATATGATTACAGATATGGTATTGATTTAAAAAAGTTGGCTAATGAAAAGAGGAATTAAGATCCAGATTTTTGAAAAAATCGAAGAACAGAAATGTGTTTTTTGATCTGATGTTTTTTGGAAAACAAATGTCCCAAATAGGGATCTAAAAACATGAAAAACTCAATTTCTCTCCTTCTGGAAAATAAAAAAATCAGTTTTGCAAATTTTCAGAAAACTCACATCAGATGCCTATTTGGGACAAATGAAAAACACAGTTTCAGTTTTCTGACGAAGTCCTCTTTAGTAGAGTGTATAGTTTGAAACTGAGTTTCTACTTTCGTCTCTTTTGATTATAGTTAAAATACCCGTAGATATAGATCATTTCCAACATGATCTATCTATAGACCTTAGCCTAAACTTCATACTTCAGTCCGGTCGATGAATTGATGTCGAAATCACATCAGCAGACAGCACAGTTTGGAAATACATTATTCATTATACGTAAACCTAGTGTCGGTATAATGTCTTATCATCAAAGAAATATTCCATCTCTGTCACATTACCCACACGAAGAAGAAGTACTACTTACAGCTGGATTTCCGTTCAAAGTTATCAAAGTTGATTACGATGAAAACAACAAAAACTATTTTATTTAACTTTCATAATGATGACAGATGATGGTCTTTGGTGGAGTAGAAACACATTTATGAAAAACGACTATTGTCTGCACTGCGGGAAATTCAAAACCATCATTCCTCATCCACATACTTTTGCTCAGAACTGCTGTACATCACTATACATCATATATCAAACAGATACTCACAAGGGACGTTGCCGTGAGTCGGCAACTCCGGGAACCCTTGACTGTATTTTTTACTCACACAAACATAGAATGAATGAAAGATGAGCTAGTGAAAGGGTCTTTTTCAAGCGATTATTAATAAATCAAGTTCTTTTTCGATACTGCTAGCACCGATAGACAGCGTACAATCGTCTCTATCTTCTTTCTCATCAATGGGCCTCTAGTTCTGTCCAGTAAAATACTGGACTCGGTCATTCCTAAAATAGCACAAGAACAAAAGATTAGTGTCTTTTTGAATGGGAAAAGCCAAGGGGAAAAAAGCACCACTTCCCGTCATTTTATCACTCCATTTCACTTCACTGCTGAAACGGCGCCACTGATGCACACTAAAAAAAAAGCGTCGTTTACTAAACCCAAAACGGGTTTAGTAAAATGCAATGACACGCTACCGCTTCAAAAGTTTAGTAAAAAACCATTTTAGGGTTTAGTAGCCTACTAAACCTGAAAGCGGTAGCGTGTCATTGCATTTTACTAA